AGGGGTCTCAGAGTGCATTCAGTGATGGTATGTGCACCCCGTATTCGGTCGAGCTCCCACCTTTTGCACCGAGACACGGTTTGCGTGCCTGTCAAATCTACTCCGTCCGTCCACATACCTAGGTAGCTAGATCGGTCCTTCCAGTGGGCGGGTCGTCCTAAAATCAAGCATAAAGCACAAGTAAGCCTATCTAGCGACTCCAAAATAGGGGCCAGAGGGGGCTTTGGTAAGCTTAATCGGTACTTCCGCATCATCTACTTTCGTCAGGCCATTGCGTAGGTGTAAGGGCAGCATTGCATCGCAGTTTGCACCACCTTGCAAGTTCAGAGCTGAAACGCAGCTGGAGTGGGCAATAACACGAAAGGTTAAAAAAGAAGAAAAGGGAGTCACGGCTTGTGATTAGCAACGTCCAACACCCTTCTGGAAACCCCAACCGTCTGTGCAGTGCCCACTTGTCGCCTCGGCCGAGGAGCTACAGTCGAGCCTACAGGATCGGGAGACAAGGTTTCACAGTGGATAAGCTCAGGCCTGCGATACCATATTTCCACTTGCATCAGCGTAGCATTCATCGCCCGGAACAGACGGATGCGGGCTTTGAGAAAAGTTAGGCGCCATCACCTGCGACACACCACCGCAACATCCAATGTCTACTCTGCACTGACACGTCTCAAGTATCTTAAGAAAACAGACGCACTTTTATCTCCTCACAGGGAAACAACCGCTGCTTGAGCCGTCTGCTCTGACCCGTGACTTGAAACCTGTCGGCCCAAGAGGCCGTCGCAGGACCAGCCGGGCTGCCTCCCTTGGCCAAACGTCTCGAGTGGCATTTAGGAAGTTTTTGGCGGGACTGATCCTTGCTGAATCATCCGGGGTGCCGTCGATCAGAATCTTGGCAGCCTGGAGAGTACCAAAGAGGATCCATGGCGAAGGAGCATGAGTGACGTGAATTGTTTCCTTTCGTCAAGACTTTCGATTTTTTTAACGCACAGTATGCCTGGTCGTGGATCGGCACATGGGGGCGCAGTTCTGGAGGCTGAGGTTGACGCCCATGCTTTGCTTGTCGTGACAAATAGTATATCAATGCCTCGGATGTTTGTACGAGGAGGAGCTTTTGTCTTGAAAGGCAGGTCAAGTATGGTACGGGAAAAGTACTCGTCGGTGACATGCAATCCTGGTTGAACGAGAACAGTCTGCTCTGACATATGCATTTGACAAGATGTGGGATGACATGTGCCACTCTTGCACAATCTCACGGCTTCTCACATTGTACACCTGAATAAGGATTGAATGCATTTCACTGCACTTTTAGTTACCCTGAAGGGCTTCAGGAGTCTCTCCAGCAGATTGAAGATGTCACTTTAGTCTCTTGTACGACCTTTCTCGTGGCTCTTGAACATCAACAAGAATAGGTCGGTGCCTTCTGATGAACAGTTCTTGCGAGCTGTTGATCACCGTCTAACGGCCAATAACCCAATCTTGAGATCATAGCCCATCCGCTCTCTCTGCTGCTGTTAGGCTAAGACTTCTCTTCCTCCAGAACCTGCTCCAACATCTTCATTCGCATGTCCACAAGCCACTGTCTCTTGGCTATGAGCTCCTCATGACGCTGCCTAGTCTGCTCCTGGAGCGCCTCGTGTCTCGGCAAGAACATATCCAGCGCGGCAGAGAGGCTGTTGCGGAACTCCTCGACCTCGACCCCCACATCCTTGAGTTTCTCACGGAAGATGATATCGGTGAACATACAGTCCAGTAGCATGTTCCATACGATGTGTCTCTCGGGGATCTTCACGGCCTCGACTCCGGTCATGCCCACGTCCGCGAGGGTCGTGTTTGCGAGGACAGTTGCCTCCGCCACCTCCTGCTGTGCTTGCCGTAGAGCATGGTCGATTCTCAATTCTGCTCTCGTCTCGTAGTCTACTTGATACGGCTGGGTGTGGCTGTTTTGCAGGCTGGCCGGAACCATGATGTCGACCTTAGCCTCCTTGATTGCGTATCGGACGTGCCCTAGGGCAGAGATCGCGAGACCTCGAGCTCTTGTTAAGGCATCTACGGTCTTTTTCTCAAAGAAATATGTTGCTTGCAACTCGTCGTACGCCTAGGCCTGTCAGTCAAATAAAGTGAAAAATAAATGCAGCTTTCAATGTGCGAACCGTTTGTGCCTTCTTCACTTCCTCCTCTGCCTCGTCGTCCTTGGGGAACTCAGGACTCGGGCCGTCGAACACATCATTGGCAAGCTCCTCAACCTGGTTCAGCAACTCAGTATGCCTCGTGACGAGCGACTCCAGCTCCGTCCGCTGCTTCTTCGCCGCCTCAAACGTCCGCTCCAGCTCATCGAACTCTGCGCTAGCCGTCTCGTATGCCCCCAGGACCTCCAAGTACTCTCTCTGCTCCTTCTCGATCTTGGCTTCGTGCTTCTTCTTCTGCCCTCCCAGCACGTACGCGAGCCGCTTGACCCGGCTCTTCTCGATCTCCTCGTACTCTGCCTTCTCCGTCTTCACTACAACATCTGGAGTCAGCAATTGCCTTATAAGGATAGTGCAAGAGCAAGGAAGGCTGAATAGAGATGTCTCGGGAGTGAAAGTCCAAATTGGGACAGCCCCTTCGTCTCGTGGCTCGAAACATTGGCTTAAAGAAGGGAGGAAGAGACTCTAGGAGCTGCTTACTGCGCTCGCGAAGCACCGCAGTCTTCTCAGACCCGTCCTGCACCTGGCAGCGCAGATCCGCAATGTGCAGCTTCAGCTTGTGCAGCTCGGGCGCGGCGTGGTCGCTGTCTGCGATCAGCGTGAGGAGCCGCTTCTGCTCCAGCGCCGCGGCGCGGAACTTGTCCTTCTTCTCGGGCGCGGTGAAGTCGCTCTCCTTCTCCGAGACTAGCAGGTCTTCCTTCTTCTCGGCCATGGTGTGGAGAGCGTACACAAGGTCAGGGGGATTTGAAAAATAATGCGATCAGTTCGCGGGTTTCGAGCAAGCTGAGACTGAAGAGTCGTTGGCAAGATGTTAAGTCACTTCCTGTATTACAATATTCCCATTCACCAAAAGAGGTCCGATTTCACACCCTTAGTATTGTGTCTCGAGACTATATAGACAGCAAGGAGGCCTATCCAGGAACCAAGCTTTGCAACTGAGACTTGGCTCCCTCATCAACGTTCAACGGTCCTCTATCCGAAGACCGAGCTGAACCTCAATCCTTGTCCGGTGCGCAGCGCCTGCGCAGCGTAGGCTAAGAATGCTCCCCAACATTGCTGCATCTCTACTAGAATGGAGATGGAGAGGGTTAGTAGGGTGAAAGCTGCTGCTAAGCGTGTGGCCTAACTGGATGAGGTTGACGGGACGTTGGGCGGCCTTCCTTTAATATGTTAGCTGGTCGTTCAAGTGCGGCGGTGCAGTGCGTCCTGGACCAATGATGCTCGGCATTAATCAGGTTAGCAGAACTGCCAGACACTTAGATCTGCGCTGCTGTAATAAGCATGCGTCAACTACCCTTTTTCGAGGTCAAACGTTGAGATATCTGTAATTCTCTAGGGTATGTCTTCTCACAACCCAGGATGTGGTAAAAAAGTATTCTCTGTTAGTACGGATTATCCTGGGGAGCTGAATCTATGTTAAGTTAGGCATTCGATAATATAGTCGCTAGCATGATGATATGAAGCAATTGATGGATTGGAAACACGTCGCCTGTATTGCGCCAGTGTCACAGGCCTTATTTACGGAGGGGGGTCCAATGTAAGGGAGTTGGATCAAGTCAGCCGAATCGTTGGCTTTGGAGAGTACTTTCTATCCAAAACCCAAAATCCGATTTCTTTTACGGCTACCTTCATTTATTTGTAGCTACTCGTTAAACACACAATCAGCACTAAGCTATAACTCAACCAAAAGACGGATCAAACGAGCATCAAGAGACTGAACTCGCAGTTTCTGGAACTAACCGAGCTGCCCTGAATGACTGATTTGTACGGTCAGCGACGGGCGGGATTTGGTCTCCATCTTGCTGCTGTGGAGGATATGGTATTCTGGTATTCCCGACCATCATTTCCATTGCGAATTGATTGGCCAAGTTTCGTATAACATAGACGATAACTCAATGACAACGACACACGAGAATTGCAGGGTTAGCCCTTCCACAGTGCGGTCGCTGTAAACCCCTGAAAATGGCTGGGTAGGGATCTGATTGGTGGGGACCACACCACTGTAACCCTTAGAATGTACTTTCACACTACCTATACGTCGCGAGATTCGCGATCTGACTTTGAGGGCGAATCCACACTCCACAGGACTCAAGAAGGCTCTCGCCAGCGTGATATACAAACGTTTAACAGGCGACTTACTTATCGCGAAACAATACCTTGGCCATCGTGAATGGGGTCTTGGGCTTAAAGAAAATGGCCCCTCCCTCGGGCCTCCAACATTCGGCCATCTCGTCCGAGTCCTTGGAGGCGCCATTCCCAGCCCTCGCGCGCTCCTCTACCCTCCCCACCACCTTCCAGCAAGCCCGTCGCCCCGATCCCTCACATCTAGCGCCTGAGGATGCTTTCTATGCCGCCTCTCCTCCGCGGCGCTTGTCGGCATTTGACAACGGTGACAATGGGTCCGGCACGGAGATGCGATCGAGGCGGCTCCGCCACAAGATTGACGGCGAGAGCCGAAGCAGGAGTAGGAGGCGCAAGAGAACTTGGAAGAAGCTGCTGTGGGTGAAGCAATCATGTGAGTCTCGGATGGCTGCATCAGTCAGCTTCATCTTGTATAAGGAACGTCTCTAACAAGTTTCTAGACCCGGACAATTACACCGACCAGGCCACCTTCCTCGAAAACCTCCAGCGAAATCCCCGGCTCCAACCGTACGACTTCTGGCCTCTTGTTGCTGATTCAACGGTCATTGTGCAGCACGTTTGCTCCGTCATAATCTTTGTGGTCTGTTTCGTTGGCATATTCCAGGAGCGACTGAGTCCTGTGTCTGTCGTCGGTTGGGGTAGCTTCGCCACTTTGATCGGATGGCTGCTATGGGACTGGTGGGTGGGCAAAGAGAGCGAGGAGGATGATGGAAGCGGTCTTGCGAGAACCAAGAGCATAGGCAGGAGAGAGTTCCGACCGCGGCGTCATCGAGACGAAACAGGAAACGGAGCTGGCAGTAACCCGAATGGGCTGCATGGGGATGAATCGCACACGACTCTGCTCACCACCAGCAATAGCAGCGTCTCAAATTTGCCCTCGGCGGCTAGCTCGACATCAAACCTGCATACTACACCATCCCAGCAGGATATGACTTCCCTACGACCACAATACCCCCCCAGCAGCAATCCAAGCAGCAGTAATCTGCTCACTACAAAACATCTACACTCCGTGTCGGCCTCTTCCCTCGCATCTGCCACATCCCAGACTAGTGCTACGGGAGTAGGCATAGGTCGGGGCTCAATATCTGTCGCCCCAGATTCGGGACCGAAGCATCGACCGTCGTCTCCCCTACGCGGCGGTCGTGCACATCTCCGTGCCAGCACTGTCAAATCTGCTATTCTCATCTATTTCACACTATTAGGGCTCTCCCCTATTCTCAAATCTCTGACGCGATCTACCTCGTCTGACAGCATCTGGGCCATGTCATTCTGGTTGCTGACCATCAACATCTTCTTCTTCGACTACTCGGGAGCCTGGGTTGGTGTGAACAAATTTCCTGTGGCATCACTATCGACCAATGCGGCACTCATGGCCTCGACGGTGCTGGCGAGCCGGCTGCCGTCGACTGGTCAGGTGTTTAGCCTGACGCTGTTCAGTATCGAGGTCTTTGGCCTGTTTCCAGTATTCAGGAGATACGCAAGACACAGGAGCTGGAGGTATCACATGATCCTCACGGTGTTGCTTGTCTTGGGAGCTGGCGGTGGAGTAGGCATGATCCTTGGCAGAGATGAGAGCGGAGAAGCATTCCCCTGGAAAGGCGGACTGGCTGGCATGGTCATTGGGTGTATCATCGTCGCTGTGGCCATGGGTGGCTGCAGTTGGTGGCTGATCGGACTGCAGAAATACAAAAACGAAATATACGGACCGTGGGATCCCGCAAGGCCGATTATTATCAGTAGGAGGCATTGGGATGATGAATAGAGCTATATACAGGCTTCATAATCGAACAAATTCGTACCCATCAGCCAAGCAGAGGGATTCCCGCCCTGGTGGCTTATCGTTCTCACTGGCGAACTACATTCCTGTCTTCAGGCTTTGAAGCCTCCGCTCTTGAGCCTCTCCACCAGCTTGTCTTGCATCTCCTGATAGCCCGCCAAAGCCAGTCCTCTCCCGCTTGGTGGCGCAGCGTTATACTCTGGCACCACACGCAACGCCCCCTTTGTAACCTCGAGGATCGTGCCGTCGCCGTACTCCGGATCCTCGCACAACTTGAGCATCGCTTCGGCCATCTCCTCAGGCTCCGCGAAGTCATCGGTCTCTCGCTTCATGGCAATCTTCTCGGGGTCCTCAGTCCACATTGGCGTCTAGAGGGCAGTTAGTGCCTTACTCAAAGCAGCATAACATATGGAGCGCGCTATAATTCAGCGGGAATTGAAGGAGGGCTTGCCTTGACTGCACATGGCGCTACCGCCGCTACCCTGACGCCAACGGTGTCTCTCAGGCTTCCCAGACTTCTCGTGAACGCGTGCAGACCGTGCTTGGTCGCATAGTATATCGGAGTGCCAATGCTGGTCGAGTGACCGGCAATGCTGCTTACATGCAGGAGAACGCCTCTGGCTTGCCCAGCAGCGGCCTTCGCCTTGTTCTGCTCGCCCAACCAGTGGGCCAAGGCCAGCTGGCTCAGGCGGATCGGGTGCGTCAGGTTGACATTCAGCTGTGTGTACGTCCCCGGCTCCGCGTCCGCGCGATCCCGACTAGGACTGGTCGGGTTCGTCTTGGTGACGGGCGGCTCCCAGAAACCGGACCACTCCGGCTCGAAAATGCCCGCGCCGGGGCAGACGATATCGACACTGGGAAATGCGGAGGTTGCACGCGCCCAGAGCGAGTTGAGCTGTGGCCAGGAGGACACGTCTGTCTTGTGGAAGATGGCCGCCGGCCGCTTGCTGTTATCACCAGCAACATGAGGGTACTGGCGCAGAAGCTCCTCGGCGCCAGGCCGTAAACCTATGTCTCCGATTGTCACGGAGCAGCCGCGTTGGAGGAGGAGCTTGGCGAAGGCGAGGTTGATGCCAGCACCGGCGCCAGTGACCAGGGCGTGCTTGCCCGCGACAGAAAATGACATTTCTTAATACGATTTCGAGCTTCTTTGAGGAACTATCATCCCAGGATCTTATTCTTAGCTGTCCAGAAGGCTGCAATTTAGCTACACCGTTGACGACTATATGACTTAAACCAGATTGTATGGTGTAGCGTTGTGTTCTGTAAGTAAGTTTCGCTCAATTGAGGCATAAGACACTGGTTCAGCCTCCCGTTCTTCAGGCCAGTTCAATAGCATATCAATTGATCTTTAAATGTGCGGCATTGGAGGTCTCGGACGCGTGGTCCATCCCCGCTACCATAGTGCGGATATCGTGATCCGTAGCGCTATGGGGAACATCGGCTTCATGCCCCTTATGATAGCACATGCATAGATAGACTCTTAGATCCTAGTCAACGCCTAGCTGAGCTGGACCCTAATTCAGGTGAGGTAGTGCTAGGATTATATTCTCGCTCGCTCATTGGACACGCACAAGCTCGACAATGCGTCTTCTTCGACCTTGAAGCTCGTGAAGACAGGGTGTGGGGCGAACAGTTGGAGAGCTACTGTGGGGAAGAGCTAAATGATTCAGGCCAACCTCTTGAACACCATAGTCGTGACTCGGGTCATATTCTCCCTAGATGAGGCTGAATGCAAACCAATTCTAGCATTCTATCTCTATCCGCTAGATTTCACATATTACGCTGATAATGAGTACTGAACCCGCCATATGATGATTCTGTATCGAAACTCCAATGCGCTCAAACCCTTATGCCGTTCTCGATGTCTTCAACTGCCTTTTCTTGCGCACCTCGGGTTTCGGGGGAATTTCCAGCATGGCGGGTCGTTGCGTCATCTCGATCTTCCGGCTTACCAGGTCGACATGCCCAGCCGTCCACATATCTCAGAGTCTCTCGATCCCAGATGCGGTTCATGAGCATCAAGCGCACCGGTACCAATATTATGATGATGACTGGGAATGCAGGCGCTGCCACCGTCAGAGTCACACCAAAAACAACGCCTGTCAGCACGCATTGCGTAAGAGTATACGCGTGGACGCTTAGCCAGGTCACCCCGTCTGGTACTTTAGGTAAATCGGAAGGCGGTGTTAGCATGTTAAAGATCCTCCATAGAATGGGATTGACGGAGAGTGACTGATAGCCCATGTACATGAACAGCCCAGCTAGTACCGACGTAGGTGTCAAGCCAAGCAGGCGCTGAAAAGGAGGGCTGACAAACACGAGGATCATGGAGGACTGAGTGAAATGTGACCATCGCTGCTCGTAGACCCTGTACACCTTGCGTGTTGCAAATGTCTCATCTGAGCTATTTCCGTCACGAGCCACGGGCTCTTCGACCAGATGTCTCAGAGATTCCGAGTGTAAGGGTGCTTGAGGTAAGAGGCCGTTCGCTGGAGGTATTCCTAGAATGCCGCACAACGCGGTCGTGGTCCCAAGAAGCGCAATATCCCAGGCAAACCCTCCCGGTTTCTTGACGCCGTACCTATCCATTGTACATATGATACAGCTTATCTCATGATCGAAGAAGAATAATATCGTAATGATGGCGCCAGGTATCATGGAGATGAACACCCATTCGACGGGTATCTCCCAAAATCGGACGAAAAACGAGCTGCGCTCAGGATCGGTCGGGCGGAATGTTGTCTGGACTTGGAGTCGTTGCTGATCAAGACTCGCAAGCTCTCCCATATAAGGCACCCCAATAAAAAATATGATAGATATTGCCGTAGCGTACTCGGACAGGCCAAGTCGGATTATGCGACCAAACAGAGGCTTCCATCTAGTGGCGGTGGACAGGAAGATTGCCAGTAAACAAGTCCCAATGGACCCAATGATGGAGTAAAGGAATGCTGCAAATGAAACGGCATTGTGATTCCGCTGGAGTTCGAGAACAGCTTTATGGAAATAAATAACGCTGTTCAATAACGAGAAAATATCGCCACTAAAGTGCGTAACGTATCGCATCGTCCAGTCGTGAGCATTGAAAATGGCGAGTAGATAATGCATCCAAGCAGCATGAATCAAAGACCATGCCATAACGGAGAGAAAATGAACCTATATTCTATTATTTCCTAACGCCGATAAACATCGTGAGTAACCTACATGAAAGTGATGTATGCACAGCTCATAAATGTTCTCGGCCAACACTGAGAAAGGACCAGTGACACCGAGGATACAGAGCGGCTGAGCAGAGAAACTAGACAATTGTTATCACGATGCATTCAAATATGAGTAAATATTCATGATAGGGATCGAGCAAACCTAGCAAATATGAGACCGCATAATCCCGTGCTGAATACAACCTCGATAGAGCCCCATGACTTGCCGGTGAGAACATGCAAGTCACTAGCAAAAGTAATTCCAGGAAGGATGTTGGTGAAGAAGACATAAACGGCACTGGCGACAACAAGCTGATTAAATTCTTTCCAGTCCGACAGCCATCGTCCCCGGACGGTTTTCAAATCGGTTTTGAGTAATCGGAATGGCTGTAAAGGTCCTCCAGCCTTGAACTGTGTGAACAGCCATCGATAAGGCATGCCGTCGACACTTCAATAGTTTATGCAACATTGATATTATTTCTAGGAACCAGAACGACTTGGAAAAGGAGAAATGTCTGGCGTATTAGATTCAGGCGGGTCATGGTCGGTCAATCTCAGATTCGAGGACTGTAGTTGTCGAGCACAGCATTTTTGGGAAAGTGAAAAAAGGTCGATAACGAAGCTGGTGACGAAATAGATTCAAGATCAATTTTAGAGCCGGAAGTTCCTTCGCCATATCCACCGCCTCCGGATCATCGTTGTTGAACGGGTCCGGGCTTGTTAGTCTCGGCATCGGCGCCATTACTCAAGATCGTTAGTCATGTAGAGGACCGGCCGAACCTAAGAACTGCGACAAGACGCCAAGCAGTACATACCCAGAGACTGGCTTAGAACACGTCTTGCACATGTTCAAGAAGTAGCCTCTGATTAGTCCATGCCAGAAAACCTAGGAGCTTGGCCATTACGTTCCAAGGCTTGCGATAGACGCGTAAACGTCAAAGTCCTCGCGTCTCAAGCATCAAGTGCAACCATACACGCAAAGAGGACTAAGTCACTGCCGTACATTCTTTTCCGTTTCTTGCCTTTTTTATTTTAATTATTTAAAAACGTTGCTCAAACAGAAGTTCGCCAAGTTCTTTACACTACCCTATTGAATGATACCCGGCACGAAACAACTCACCACCTAGAACATATCGTAAATATCCCATTGTTGACAGGGCATGTAAATGCACCCCGACCACCTCAGTACGCATTGCAGAAATTCAACACAAAAGACTCATTCGTCGCCGTCGTTAACGGTGGGATGGCCGTTGTCCCAGGTCACGTTCTTACAGTAAGTCTTTCTCTTGTGCGCGATGTATTCGTCCCAGTTGAATCTCGCCGTCGCAAACTCGATCTCAGGCCACCCACTCTTGGGCACATTCCTGAGGGTTATCTCGGTGCACTCGTCGTTGACCTCTTTTGTCAGAGCGAAATGATACATATAACCCATCATCATTTCACAGCATTTGGGTGGCATGCCCTTGTATTTGACCACGCCCTGCTCCTTGTGACACAAGTTGACGAAATAGTCTTCGCCCCTGTTCTTCCTTATACAACCGTTGATCTTGTACCACTTCTCCTCAATCATAATTTGCGGCAGGTCTGCCAGCATTTCTCCCGCTTGGCCACTATAGATCTCCTCATCATAGCTACAATATTTCAAGTCAGTGGGTGCCTTTTGAGAATAGTGAAAGGGCTATAAAATAAAAAAAAGAGCCTCAATAGATATGTATCAGGAGTAAATTGTCCGGTTCGGGACTACAAATTTGTTCCAGGACTGAATGTATAACCGGAGTAGTAAGAATTGAACGCAAAAAGTTGCTTACCAGCCTTCAAGCTTCCCACAAGCCAGCCGCTCGTGGCAGTGATCGATCCAGTGATCAGGTAGAGTGTATTTCTTCTTCCACTCTGCCAAAGCGACGCCGGCGAAGCTGGCGGATAGTATGACGAGCGTAGTCAGCTTCATCTCGTGCGCTATTTGTCCCCGTGGTGTGGAAGGGCTGGTATAACTTGGCCTACGAAGCAAGACTTGTTAGAATTCTTGCAGAAGATTCTGAAAACGTTGAACGCGAGAAGATGATGTCCCGAATTGAGCCCAGGAGACCCCATTTATGGGAGCACGCAAGCCTTTTGTCGAAAGTTTTTAGAGTATGCTTTGGAACTCTCCATATTTACGTTGCACATATAACATGAACGACCTGGAAAGTTTCATAGTTTAAGCTTTTGCTATCTCGGAAATCAATATTTCATAGTACTGATCTGCACATTTTGAATTTGACACTCCCAGAACACCCCCATACCAAACCACAACTCCAAAGCACCAGGTTCTCCCCTGAACCACCGAGTAGCCCGAACCTCCTCACCCTGTTCCCGTGAGCTTCTTGAGCAACTTGAACTTTGCGGACGGCACGTCTGTCAATTTGACCTCTGTGCACTGATCGCCGCCGCCGAAGCCGATTTGACCAAAGTTAGGGAACCAGCCGTGCTTCTTGACGGCCTTCTTGAGAACCTCGCAGCAGATTCCGGGGAGGTGGCTGAACATCGCCGTGCCTGAACCCTCCTGCGAGTAGTCGGCCACCAAGTCTGGGGCCGCATTGTGCTGCATGCATTCCTTGATTGCCAGAATCTCGTGGGGCTCCATCATCAGCTGCATGTCCTGCCCTGTCTGGATCTCCATGATGGAGCCTGCTGGCGAAGAAGGGGGCGCTGCGAGACCGCCGACTGCGGCACTTGCCAGGAGTGTGGTGATAGCTAGAATGCTCTTCATCTTGAATAAAGACGGTGTGATTGTGGCTTCGACCGGAGGTGAACTAGCTATGGTGATATGAGATGTGAAATACCGGAAAGCTGAAAAGAAAGGGGCGAGCACACTCTATCATCAGCGCGAACCTGCGTATTTATATATATGGTCCTCACAAGGCATATGACCAGGTATCCCATGTCTTTGGGGTGTGATAATCCAGTTGTACCATAGAGCTGTCTACAAAATCACTGATGCCACTCCAAGGAGCAACTTTGTCTGCTGAAGTGTCTCATCTGGATCCATGGGAACATAGGGTTATCAAACCATAAAGCTCTTCAAATTTGGCGGCGTGTCATGCCAGTCCCTGGTACTGAAAACTTAACGCTAGAAGCCTCGTCAACATTCAAGACTCTTGCAAACGTTTCCCGAGAAGATTCACAACACCCGAAAAAACATGGCTAGATATGGGGGAATGGAGCGATATGACCGTTGGGTATTTTCACAGTTGCGCAAAAGGGACAGAGATTGTATTTGTACAGACGTAGTAGATTTTCATTCCAGCTAGTAATGGCATGTATCGTACTCCTCCTGGGATTATGTTTAAAAACAACAGAAGAACAGGACATGTGGTATGATGGAAAAATTTGTAAATAGAACAATGATGCTGCTGCTCCCCCAATCCGTTCCGATTCGTTAAACATGGCGCGCGCGTGTACTTCAGGGTAGCCGAAGTAGGTGGTGCGAAAACGGGTGTCATGGAATGTAATGGTGGTAGTAGTATGGTGCACATAGAAACGAAAGCCTTTGTAGAAAAAAAGAAGAAGTGAAGACAGGACCCAACACAATAACTCCGGTCATGTCATCTTTCCCATCACTCTTACAGAGAAACCAGATCAGTCATCAAGGCGCTTCCTCCAATCCGCCAGGCTCTCGCTAAGACCCAGGCCGTTCTCGTCGTTCTCCTTGTCAGCCTTCTTGGCTGTAGGTGTGGCTCCTGTATCGAAATCGAACGTGTTGCTCAGGCGATAGTTTTTGTTTGTCGCCTCCCAGTGGCTGCGGAGCGTCTCTAGCTCGTTTGCAAGATTATCAAGGGCAGCGCTGTTTCTTGCTTCACTCAGACCACCGTATGCTGATTCAGCATCTGAGCTTTCTTGTCTAATGTGTCCAGCACTGGTGCCATTGGCGCCATTGCTTGAGGAGTTCGTAGAGCTTTTGGTGGTAGTTGGCATAAGCTGGTCCGATGTCATGCTGAGAACTTGTCTGCTACGCCGGCGATAATTGCCGACCGAGGTCTCGACCTGATCGAGTAGGAGCGATACCTTTTGCTCGGCGTCTTGAGCTCGGCGCTCAAGCAGCGCGTTCTCTTGTTGTAGCTGCTCGAGATCCTTGCGGCTGTTGGTCAGAAGCGAAGTCGCTGCCTCGTTGGTCTTCACAGCCTCGTCCTTAGCGCGCCTGGCATCCGCAAGCTCTTGTCGCACCGTCAACAACTGCTTCTCTAGTTGTGCGGAAGATGCCTTGACCTCTTCTTGCAAGTCCGTGACCTTCTGCTGCAAAGCGCTGCGTTCGGCTTCCCAGTCAGCAGGAGAAGAGCCCTTGTCCTCCAATTCAACAAGATCCTCCTTGAGGCGAGAATTCTCAGACTTGTATCGTGCAAGCTGATCCTTTAGCTGCTTAAGCATTTTCTCGCTACCCTTGACGTAGTGGACGGCGGACTGATAGTCATTCTCGAGTTGCGACAGCTTCTCGCGATATGTAGTCTCAGATTCCTGCGCTTGGATAGCAAAAGTCTGTTGTGTCTCCTCGTGAGCAGCCCGAGACATGGCAAGCTGCTGTTCTAGTTCCCGCATGCGAGAAATTGTTTCGGGAGAGCTTTCTCGGGGGCTGCTGAGACCACGACTGCGTGCTGCAGAGGTCGGGCTAATACCACGCTCAGAAAGAATGTCCTTGAGAGTGTTGTGCTGGACTGTGACGGCATTGGTCTCCAGCTGTTGATTCGCAAGCTGATTCTTAAGATCAGAGTTGGCAGCTTGTAGGGACTGAGTCTCCCGGAGAGCAGACTGGAGCTGTCTCCTGATAGAGACACCCTCACGGCTCGCTTGCTCTTGGTATGCCTCCAGCCCTGCAATGCGCTCTTCGGCACTCCGCAACCGATCTGAAGCGGTGTCTGCCTCCTGCTTGTATTTCTTGACCAAGTTGTTGGCTGCAGCAACT